TTACATTTATTGAATTGCTCCAATTCAAGTAATAAAGCCTTCATCCACAGGCATTCATTCAGGCAGTTAAACACATAAGCAAATAGCCTCATGGCAAGCATGCTATCATGGCAATACTCACACTCATGCAAGTATGCTAAAGCATAACACTTACAGTGTACTCCAAGCCAAAACAGAAAATTAGTTAGAAACAATGCATGATCCTAACTATGTTAAGTGCCTAATGCAACACATACAATAATGCAACTAAATAGGCTCAGCTATCTAAGATGGCATATGGATGCGATAATTTTGATACATGTATTCAAAGAGGTATTGAAATACAATGCAGTTTGTGTGATGCGCCGAGCCCGATGCATGCAAAACAAATGAATGATGCAAACATGCAAGCATAAGGTATGCTAATCAAAACGTGCCCTAATCTAACCATCGAAAACGGATAAATAAAAGGGAGAAAGACGTGGGGTTGGAAGACATGCACACACGCACGCACACTTATTACAACATTTTGCCCTCGCGAAGGAGGGTCCGAATAAATAAGCAAACTAGCTACGCTAAGCTAAGCTACTTATTACAAATCAACTAATTAACTATTCTAGCCAATTAATTAGTACAAACCAAATTGAATAACTAGCTACACTAAGCTAATTAATTACAAACCGAATTAATTAATTAAACACTTAACTAATTAATTAAAAAACGACTAAGCTAATGAACTAATTAGCTAAGCAATTCAAATGAACGGCCTCGGGAAGCGAGGGAGATATGCATGCTCGATTGGCTTCGCCCGAAAATCCACCACCTTGCCTTTAGATGCCTCTGTTTGCACATCTTCTGACCTCTGAAAAATTATGCCAACCTCCAGATTGCCTTTGTTCCATCTCAAGAACATACTGATGGCTAATCGGCTAGAAATGGTGGCCATCGGCTACTACTGATGGCCAGTCAGCTAGCTTTGGTGGCCGGTCGGCCACTGCTCTCCTGAACTTCCTTCTTTTGCTGCAACAGAGAGCAAATAGAGGCATGGCAGTGTATTTTACAAGGAATGTGTGTACTGCCACCCTCCTTATCATTTCTCAAGCTCAAAGGAGTATGACACTTGGCTCTCAAACCACAAATCAAGCATTTTCAATGCATGATAGACAAAGAACCAAGCTTGTACAATGTTAATGAATGCACAAGTAAGACTCAAAAGACCTCCACCCTATCATGCACAATCAAAGGGGACGACGACAAAGAAACGTGACACATTTCATCACTTTGAGTATGAAACGTTCCACATTTCTTGTGTTTGGATTAACGTCCGATCCAAATGCATGCAATGTAACACAAATGCTTATCTTGTTCATGTTTTACTTTGCTCAATTCTTGTTTACACATTTTACATTACCGATTAATTATTTAACCGATTAAGTCCAATGTGAAAGTCCTCTAATGTGAGAGGGGTCAACCAAATGATGATGTAAGACATGAGAGAGATCATGCCTTTGACTAGGAGGAACCCTCAAAGAGGGTTAAAGCCATTTAAGCACAAAATCTAACTCATGCTTAAACACAACCTTAAGGCCAAACACCCTGAAAACAAATAGAAAAATGAAGAAATGAGGGAAGTTGTAGAATTTCAGTGCTGAAATGGCATGAAAAATGATGCTACAACATGCAAGCAACACATGCACAACATGTTAAGGGCCAAAAGCATTAAAGCTAGTGAAGAGCATTACACAAGAGGCTTGCAATATCAAGCTTAAATGACTAAACCAACTCTGGACAGAGCTTAAACATGCCAAAATAATAGCCAAAACATGCTGAAATTTAGGCACAAAAGGTAAGAAAATCATGCGCACATGTTAGCTCACAAGCAAGACACAAAGCACAACTCTTAGAAGCAATGAAAGAGTGATATATGTGACAGTGTGACAGTGATATATGCACTGAAATTATATGCTAAATGATGCTATGGCATGCAAACAACCTAAGCAAAGCATGTTAGAAGCCTTAAATCACAAAGCTAGTGAAGCCAACTACACTATAGCCATGTAAGGCAAAGCATATATGACCAAGGCCACCCAAAACAGAGCCAAAGCATGCTAAATCAGTAGCAAAAATGTGCTGGAGCTAAGCTCACACAAGCTAGAATGATAGGCTAAATCATCAAGTATGCTAGGCTAGTAAGCATAATTGCACTACAAGTACAAAAAGAAAGCAAGAAGTGTTCCAACCAACCAAAAGCAGAGTTGAAGCATGTCAAAATAAAGTCAAAAACATGCTTGAACTAAGCTACAAAAAGGTAGAAAAGCATGCTCAAATATTAGGCCATCTACATATGCAAACAAGATACAAGGAGGAGAGGCCAACCCCTCCTATTTTGGATCTCAAAACAAACTTTTTACCACTGATATTCCCCTAGAATTCAGTGGATAAAGGGCCAAAAAAGAGTTGTTTGGAAAGCTTTAAAAGAAGGTTCAAAAGCTTCACAAGCCCAAAGAGCAAAGGGAGGGAACCACCCCCTAACTAAACAAGACTCAAACCACCATTTTAGAACCTTAAAAAAGGAGGTTTTAGCAGTTAAAACCAGCCTCAAAGTAGTGTAAAAAGATGGCCAAGCACTTAACCAAAACAAAGCTTAAAAGGGACAAGTCCTTACCCTTGAAGCACAGCAGCAAAACAGGTGTAATTTTGAGCTAAAACCAAGCTTCAGACGTCAAACCAAGCTTTAAGGAACCTCAGCTCCAAGGGTCAAGGTGTTTGGCTAAGGGTGCTAGTGCAAATATGTAGAGAAAATTCACTTTCAAGTACAAAATATATAGAGAGAGAATTCTAGAGAGCGAGGGAGAAAATTTGCTCACAAAATTTCTGAACCCTCAAAATGGGGGAGAGACCTCTCCTTATATAGAAAATGCAAGCCAAAGCTTGCTTGAATCCATCCATACACGTGTATGGTGATGGCTTTTAGTGATCAACAGCTGGCACAGCTAGCACAGAAAATATCTGAAAAAGGAGAAAAATGGCCGCCGGCCATCATTTGTGGCCGACCGACCATCAATGTGGCTGACCGGCTGTCAGTGCAGCCGACTGGCCACCACTGATGGCCGGAAGGCACAAGCCATGGCCGATGGACACTGGGGATGGCTGACAAGCCACCCTCTCCTCCAGATGCAAAGCAACAAGCTCTTGGTCCACAACCAAGCATAAAACAGACAAGTTTCAAAAGTTCAAAGGCAAGACACTCCGCCAAGAACTTCGGGCATTCAAAACGAACACAAACATAGATGATCATCAAGTGTTCAAATGATGACGTCCAAGTCTTGAGGACGGTCAAAAATGGGGTGTCTACACATAGCGATTTTAGATCATTGGGACACAACACTTCTTCTACTCTTCATTCCTCTTCTCTCCCTTTTCGAGACCCTAACCTTCTACCATCAAATACCTCTCATACACTTGTGATCCACCCAAAATCGTTTGCTTGGGGCGGAGAGCACTTGAAGAGGGTCATTCTCAACCGATTGGATTTTGGGTTTGTGGTAGATTTGTGAAGGGGCTTGGACATTTGGCTTTATAGTTGAGGTAAGGATACTTTTACCCTTGTATGTCTTCTTCATTGAAGAGATTTGTGGTATTTAGTGTGATTTGTGGACTAATTGATGGTTTGATGATATTGAGCCCAAATTCCTCATTTTTATTCTTTTAGTTATCAATGGTTAGAAATCTCTCATCTCTCCCTTTCAATAATGATTAGGAATGTGATTGAGGAATTAGATTAGTGACAAAGAATGAGAAACCCCAAATTTGGTAAAACCCTAAGTTTCTAAATTAATAGAAATTACTTAATATGATGAAATTTCCTCATGAATCATGGACATGGGTAAATAATGGAGAAATACAATGTGGGCAATCATATGATTAGAGAGATGGTGACTTGAATGCTATGATTCTTTGAATTTTATGTGTTGGTTATCCATGAATATGTTTAATGTTCAAATGTGGGATTGAAATGTGATTTACATTGTTGACATGCATGAGTCCTTGTGTGTGTCGGTGAAGTGTAGAGATGGTGCTGTGTTGGTAACTGCGCGGGGAGTTTAAAAAGGTGTCCAATTGCCCTGTCTAGGCTTATCGCTAGACGAATGTGGGAAAAATGTTTTTGGGTGTCCACACAGTCCCGCCGTATAGTAGCCGGCGAAAGTGGAAAAACGGATGATTTTCTTAGGGTGCCTACCTCCCGCCGTATAGTAGCCGACGAATGTGAGGGTTGTCTTTACAAAGTAATTGTTGTTCTTGGTTGGGTTCATGTAGAGAGAAGTGTGGTCTATTTCTCATGTTTGTGGATATTTGATTGTAGTACATGATTAAGGTGAGTTGTATTCATCATATTATCTCAAAATACTTCCTTATGAATTGTTGACCGTTTTTATGAAAACAAATCTTATTAGAACACTTTATCTCATGGATGCCATTATCTCGTTCAAGGATTAAATACATGGATAAATGTATTCCTACTGGGCATCTAGCTCAACCCTAATCTAAATTTTCAGGAATCGATGAAGGGCAGCCTCATTTAAAGATTGGTTCAAGCACCAGCGTTATCAACTTTTGGGAACTAATTGAAGACAAGGACTCTAATAGTTATGTGTTTATTTTGGGGCTTTTGTAACAAACTTCTCTTTATGTTTTGTAATGTTGTATGCCTAGGAGGCCTTATTTTTTTGTAAGTTATCTAGTTCACTGAACAGAGAGAGCATGTTTTGAACTTCATAGGAATGTAATGTATGTGATATAAACGTTTAACTCTTTGTTCAATGAGAAAGATGATTTATGTGGGTGTTCATGAATATGGTGTCGGTGTATATTATGGTGTGTTTTTCTAGGGCATTACAAACCACATCTTCAAAGCAATCATAATCAACCCTTGATCTCCCACCTCTCCAGAAAAAATTAGTCGTGCGATTTTCTTGATCTACTGGAACTGTGAAAAAGAACATGGGATCTTCTGTATGTTTTTACTTAAGATGATTCAATAGGCTTTGAGCATCTCCAGCGCTAGTCATCATCATCTTTTGCTTGTTCACATAATTATAACAATCCCTTTTGGTAAAACCCACATTCTCATTGCCTCTAACTTCTTCTCTTAGATATGGATAAGCATTCTTTGTGCTTATACCAGCATTTACCATAGAATCAATCACACCTGCCTTCAATTTTGAAATGTGACAAGCAGATCTTAGCAAATGTCGTTCTGATTGTAATGCAAGTTCATGATTATGTTCAGGATTGAAGGCAGTAACCCTCCAAATTCCATCTTCAACAATTAAACGAATAAATGCTTTGCAACCAGTTCTAGTCTCTAGCCTATTCAATTTTTTCTTTTCACAAGGGTCTTCATCTACTTTAAAACCCTCTTTAGAACATAAAAATTGATGTTGCCTTATGTTCTTTGATCCACTATAATATCTTGGCTTTCCTTTTCGAATACTAAAACCCATTCGTAATGCATAATTGTTGTATAAAGCATATTCTTCGTCTTCACTACATACCACCTTATCTAACAAACTGTCATCACTATTTTCTTGCCTTGCAACAAACATGCAATTATGTTCACTTCTTTCAGCATCACTAGAAGTGTTAATTTCTACAGTAATTCTTGTATTAAATGTTAGAAACTACAATCGTATTTTTATAACAACTATAAAAAAATGTTAGTATGGAATGCCTTAGTTAAGGCGGAATTTTTTTTTCATGTTGGAACAGTATGGCCAAGAAGGTGCCTTTTACTATTTTGGTTGATAAGAATTCATCAATTTTTAGTCAATTTTTAGATACATCAAGATTACATACATTTTTTTAAAAAAAATAAAATAAAATATAAAATTAAAAAAAAAACTTTACTAAAAACGAACAAAACCCAAACAAAAATACGCACATAATTTTGTTCAGATTTTTTTATTTATTTTTTATTTTTAATACATTTTAGTCAATTTATTTTATTTTTTAAATGCATCTAGAATGCATTTAAAAAATGTAAAAAAAAAATGATTATCATATAAAAAAATTCATTAAAAACAAGCAAAAAAAATCATCTTACTTCTTTTGCACTCATGTTTACTTTGATTATCATATAAAAAAATTCATTAAAAATGTTAGAGTAATAGTAATCAAATTATTTAAATTAAAATAATAACCAAAATAAAATTTAGATCACACTATAAAAATGAAAAGTGTAATTTACTTTAAAAAAAAAACCTTTTACTTCTTTTGCACTCATGTCTGAAGAGCAAAACGGGAATGATTATTTGGTATTTTATACTATTTATTACTTGACACTTATCAAAATATTTTTCAAAATATTAACAAAAACTATTGATGAATGCCAAGTTGGAGGAGCAAAATAGAGACGGATAGATAGAGAAGGGAAGAAGAATGTGGGTCCATCTCTTTATATAATTCATTTTATATCATTAGGGGTGAATTGGGAGTGTTCAATTAGTGCTATCAAACATTTTTCAATATGCCACCGAGGGTGGTGGTTTAGTAAAGAATGCAGTTCTCTCCATAGGGGGTGCAAAAAATAGTTGATTTTCTAGCTGGCTCTCTTTGAGACCTCGCACTATTCTCCGTTCGACCTTAGGTTCTTCTGTGGTGTGTGGCTGAGCTCTATTGGTGCCTCAGTAGTGAGGGCCTTGTTATAGGTTTAGTAAAATCTGATTGGCAACCGACTACTCTGAAATCAAGGCCCACAGATGCGGTGACAACACCACATATCATCTTTTTTTTTCCTGTTTTTCAATCCAGTAATGTTAGAGATTTCAAAGGTTTTATCAAATTTTCTACTAAATATCTCACATGGGTATGGAACCTACATGAAACCTACATAGTGTAAGTCTCTTACCTATTTAAGACATTTAATAAAAAAATTGATAAAATTTTTAGGTTAACTAACATTTTGCTTGTCAATATAATTTATGGGAAAACGCTACTGAGTCAACTTGCCATAGGTCATCCATTCCGTTGGCGCCTGCGCGGCCAAAACGGGGTTTGACCCCACGAACCCCTAATAATTTAGGACCCTTGTGCTGTTCTAATAAAATCGTGGGTTCTAGATTTGAACCCTTCAAAATTGGGGTTCATTTAATAATAGTACTAGGTACAATTGGGGTTCAATAGTCGAATTATAAGAGAGGACGGAGGAAGGAAAGTCAAAATTTGAAGTTAACAGTGAGACAGTTTTAATGGCAGAGTTAGGTTATGGAATTAATGGGTGTTTTTTGTGTGTTGTATGCTGGTTTGTGTTTAACCACTGAAGATGTCAAGTGAAGAAGAAGATTTAATGTCGAAGTTCTTCGATTGGTTGTCGTCGTTCGATTCTCCAACAGACGGGCTTTTAGGGGATTTCATCTCTGATGCTAACATCAATCCCTGCAGCCCCATCGTCCCTTTTATGTCTCTCCACCAGCATCAACCGCCCTTGTCTCTGAAATGTAATTTATCAAATACTACTACTACTATTTCGTTGTCAACTTCCACTTCTCTCTCTCTCTCTCTCTCCCTCCTCACTAAATGTAAGTATTTTTAATGAAATTTTTTCAATTAATTTTTCTAGACTGATGGAATTATATTTTATGTGTTCATTAAATGTTATTAAGGAATTCGAATACTAAAGTAATTCACATGAGGTTTAATTTCAATTTTTCAAAATTCACCAATACCTATATTTTGTGTTTAATTAATTTTATTTTCTCTAAGAGATATTAAAATAAAGAGAGAACTTTTTAGATAAAATACATACATTGTTGGAAGGTAATAAAAATATAAGTAAATAATTAATGATAAATGGAGGGTAAATAAATAGAGAAAGAATTTGAGGGAGAAAAAGGGAAAGTTTTTCAGTATGGGGAGAGAGAGAGAGAGAGAGGGGGGGGGTTAAACCATTATACCTATATACTAGTTTATATTTTGACGTTGGGTTAATAATTTATATTGTTGATGTAATAGAAGCAGGGAAAAGTTAAAATTATATTTGTTTTATGTAATAGTAAGGAAAAGAAATTTTAATGCATTAATTAAGGCGTATTTTGATAAATGACTTCTTTTTTTTTTTAAAGCTTATTGGCTTATTATAAAAAAAACGTGTAAAAAGTAGAGTTATGATGTGTCTTAAATAAGTTAATAAACCAATAAGTTAGCTTCTTTTTTTTCTTTTCTTTTTTTGTCTTTCCAAAAGAGGCTAAGTAGCACAATAGGCACATTCTCATGATAATTTTCAAAAAAAAAAAAAATGAAAGACACAATATAGTTGAGGCATTTTAAAATTTATATTTTATTAATTTACCTTTCACTTTTGAATTTAATTTAAATTTCACTTTGATCTCTTATCTTCTAATTATAACAATTAAGTCCTTAAATTTTAACCCATTTTTTAGTGTGGATCTCCTATTGGCCCATCGTTTAAAATTTGAGTAACAATTTAAACTTAAAAGGGCCAAAGTAGAATTTGACTAAAGTTTGAGGGTGAAGTGCAATTTTCATGTCAATTTTTTCCTCTTATATTCCTAAAATGAACTCACATAGCCCCCATGAGTACTTTTTCCATTCAAATTTGTAACGATGAGTGACTCATAAGTCATGATCACTTAAAAAAATGGGTTGAAGTATGATGACTTAGTTGTTGCAATTAGAAGATGAGGGATCAAAATAAAATTCAAATGAAAGTTTAAGAGTGAAAAGTGTAACTTACTCTTTATTTTATTTCAATTAGTATGTGAATTATTTATTCAAAGGTAATTAAAAAAATTAACACTAATTAAAATTAAGAAGTCATATATCATAACATAAATATCAAGATATTATTTACGTAACAATTGCATTATAAAAAATGAAAAATAATTGTAGAACATTAAAATACACATGGTACATAAGGAAAGAGGGAAATGTATCCGAATGTTTGTCATGTATCTTGTATATCATATTGCATGTCGTACAAATATGTGTATTATAGGTTACAATCAAGATGGAATAAGTACAACGAAATTAAGAGTGATTAAGAAACAGTTTTTTTTTTTTTTTGAATTCAATAATAGACTTATCTCCCCCCCTCTCTCTCTCTCTCTCTCTTAGCAAGAATATAATTCATTTAATCATCAAAGATATCTCTTTCGCACGGACCCAACAAAGCAAGAGCAGTCAAAGAACACATTGAAACGAACATAGACAAATATGAAAGCTATTGTTCTTTGCTGTTTCAAATATAGCATAGATTATTGTTAACTTTCATTTATCTTAGTCTAAAATGTTTCAAAAAAATAAAATAAAAATAGAATGATATTGAGTAAAATTCTTTGGAATGTCATGTTGTTCTAATATGGCTAGAATTGTTAACTTCATAGGCTATCACCAATGATGGTCATGTTGCTTATTTAATGCATTCTAGAGGTTCATTCAATCACTCATAAGTTCGAAAGTTCAGCAATCACATACATATCTGATTTGGAGTCCGAAAGCCTAGAATTACTAAAGCTTGGTGATGAAACATAGCTGGTTTGTTTGAAACTCTCAACAATGAAAGAGGTGTTCCTTGACTTAGCAAAATGTCCGTCTGGAAAATTAAAATTATTACTGCAAGAGACAGAAACTTTGAAGCCAATACAGCCGCCAAGCCAGCCAAGTCGGCGCTGAAAAACGGCGCGGCTCGGTAGGCACAGCACATGGCGTGTGCGTGGCAGCGCACATGGTGCGGCTCAAAGCAGTGCAGCTCAGCACGCACGTGGGAAAAACGCAAGTTGAGCGTGCAGAAAGCGCGCCTGAAGCGTGCGGCTAATGGTGAAGCATACAGCTAATGGTGATGCATGGCACGCACGTGATGGCGCATGGAAACATGTGGGAAGCACGTGGCCCGCCGCTGACAGCGTCATCTGGCGTGTGCGGCTCATGCGCCGCCTGCCGAGGTGTTTTCTGGTCCAATTTTGGTACTACCGGACTCCATTTTCCAAAATAAAAATATTAGTGGACTCAAAAATGGCATTAAACAAACACAAATAATGGTGTGTTGCACACACACTCTCTAATGAGGGTGGAAGTGCAGAAACTTTGCACTTCATCTTCTTCCTTAAGCCACCAAAAACACAAAACGGACCCAAATTAGGATTTGCTTTTTCTTATCAACCGTAAGTTGGAATCAGGCCCATAATATACCATTTTGAAGGTATCAAAACAAGGATTCCAAATATATAATTTTCATTAACATAAAAACAAAGCATGTAAAACTAGCATGCTATCAAAGTTACAAAAAATTAAATATGAATCTCCATTTTTCTCAAAATCCGACCGTTGGATTTTCATGAAACTTTGCAGTTATATTCTACATGAAGTATACTACAACATATGTAAATTTCAGGTTGATTGCAGAAAGTTTGGAAAAATATTAATTTTTCATGCATATATCATGTGTATATATATAATTATATACATATTTTAATGCACAAAAAAAGCACAAAAATACCCATTCATTGCTCTGATACCAATGTAAGATACAGATAACACAGCGGGTAAAAGAATTCAAATTCATACCTTGTGTAAAAGAATTCAGAACAAAGAACATTGTGAGTAAATCACGTACTTGACAATCACGAACTATAAACTCCCAACAATGGAGTGATACCACAGTGTGAGTATCACCCTCTCTAGTCACAGTGCAAAGGCTTGATTGTTTTTCATGTGGGAGAGAGTTAGAGAGAGTATGGGAAAAAATGTTATGGGTAAATCAACATAACGTATCTGATATCTATTAAATAGATCAGATGTATAATCTCACATCCCTATCTCCTAATAGGATAAGATAGATTGGATGGAGATAATGGGTTATCCTAACGGGATAAATAGAAATTCAAATTACATGAGTAATTTAAATGGGCCATGGGTCATGCCATATGGGTGCCCAATCCGGGTCCAATACCCGGCCTAATTTCCAACAATTTATTTTTATAGAATCGAGTTCATTGCTATAAGCTAGAAAGCCAAATAAAATATGCTTCTTACCACATTGAGTACATGTTGGTGCCATATTTCTAGTGGAGCCCGAAGTGCTTGAGGATTCTATATTTTGCTTCTTTGACAATCTCTTCTTTGAGAAAAAGCCTTGCCTCTTAGCCTTCCAGTCAATTGGTGGTCTACTCTGATTGGCCATGTTAGTTTCTGATATTAAAGCTCGATCTAGCATGTCAACATAAGTGGGTAGTTTCAATACATTCACCCTTTCCAAAATGTCATTGCAAAGACCACTCTCAAACTTTCTTGCCTTTTTATACTCGGTGTCGACCATGGGCGGAGCAAACCTAGCCAATTTGGTGAACTTGGCCTCATACTCAGCTATAGTCATATTGCCTTGCTTTAGCCTCTCAAATTCAGACACCTTTTTATCGCGAACACAATGTGAAAAATATTTATCATAAAAGAGTGCAAGAAACTGTGTCCAATCTAAACCCATATTGTCATCCCGAATTAGTATCCATCACATCCTTGCTTCATCTTCCAATGTAAAGGTGGCCAATTGTACTTTCTGTGTTTCAAGGCATGAAAAGACTTCAAACAACTTTTCAATGCCGACGACCCAAGCATCAGCTTTCGGCGGGTCTATACCCTCGTGAAACTGTAGTGGCTTCATTTTCTTAAATTCTATGGTGAGGGCTATTGTTCGATCATCATTTTGCACATTTGGTATAAGTTGTATCGGAGGCGGGGGTAGCGGTTGTTGCCACTGTTGTTACCACAGTTGTTGTTGTCTCAGTGTTTCTATCATGTCTTGCATCATTCTCTCTATGTGGTTTAGCCGGGCAGTGGAGGATTCTTCTAGCTCTTTCGCTCTTGTTCTCACCATTATCTAATGAGACTTGCATTATAATTCATATAAAAGTATACACAATGTTCATGTTCATGTACCGAAAAAGCACGCATATACAATTAGGCTACAATTATATCTCGTGCAGTTGCGTATTCCAAATCACTTAGCAAATTCTCAATGCATTCAAGCATATTTTTATTATATAAATGCAACTTAGATCTATTCTAGACACTCTATTGCTCATTTGGACAAGTGTGTGAGTTATTACTCATGTTTTGATACCACTTTGTCATGACCTGAACCCGCCCCTATGGATTAAAGTCATAACCGGCTAGTAATCATGCGATTACCTATGACCCTAGTAAGAACTCTTTCATATTTAATAATAGGGAGCCAAAATCGCAGAAGCAAAATTTGTAAAGATTGCCCAATGAGCTGTGCATACATGGCTTAACCAAAAACTGTTCTCATATATGTAATAACTCACTATACAAACATCCATAGTATGTATGACATAAGTCTAGGATCATTCAAAAGTCAGTATTAACAAAAACCAAGGTTATACCCAACTCGGTCACACATGACCACAAAAGAA